TTCTGTTCTATAATCTGGTCTTTGACTATTGAAATGAAGTGCATGATATACCTTTTTTTACAGATTCACAGTCATGGAATATGCTATGATACAGATTATTTTTGCAGCTTCTCTGGGTGAAAGAAAATTTACCAGATACATGGTCGATGGTGTTCAGGTGGATGGATTTGAGTGACTGGTTATCATACAGGTAAAGAATCAATCAAACCTCTTGCTTTTGTATGATCCCAAGTCTCGATACCTCTCTTACCTCATTGCCATTGCCTGCATGTTCTAGAGCAACAGGTGATGATACTCGCAGTCTCTGCACCACTGTGTGCAAATGGACCTACCTGGGTCATGCACACATGTCACAGTACAATGAAAAGGATTCTCGAGATATGGAGGCTTGTGGATGGGATGATGATTTCTGGGAGGAAATTGGTTTAGCAGATCTTGTTGATGGTCACCATGCCAAAATAGGTCTGGTTGAATTACTTCGGTTTTGAGTGTTTTGATTGATGAAAGACTTAAAATTCCGCCATCATTTTGCACTGACGTGTTCTTGGTGCAGAGCTACCTTTTATGGGGCTTGAACTATTTTTTCCTCTGTGCTCATTGGTTAACAATGTATAATGTCATCAGGAAGAAGTGTAGCATTCCCTGGTCACCCCTTGGGCTCTGGTCTGACTCCAATAGCTGCAAAGGTAAGAAATATTGTATACAAAATTTTGATACGTTATAATGAGGGCAAAGAATAATTGTGATGTGGTTGGGGAGGAGAACAAACCACCATTTATAAGGGTGTGGAAACCTTCCTCTAGCAGACGCGTTTTAAAGCCTTGAGGGGAAGCCAAAAGAGGACAATATCTGCTAGCGGTAGATCTAGGTTGTTACAGATGGTATTAGAGCCAAACACCGGACGATGTGTCAGCCTTCTCGTTGTTCCCCGAAAGGGGGTAGACACGAGGTGGTGTGCCAGTAAGGACACTGGGCCCCCTTTGGGGTGGATTTGGGGGCGATCGAGGACACTGGACTCCGAAGGGAGTGGATTGTGATGTCCCACGTTGGTTGGGGAGGAGAACAAACCACCATTTATAAGGGTATTGAAACCTTCCCCAGCAGACGCGTTTTAAAACCTTGAGGGGAAGCCCGAAAGGGAAAGCCCAAAGAGAACAATATCTGCTAACGGTGGGCCTGGGTCGTTATAATAATCTAGTTAATGAAGTCATTTTAATTTGATGAAATTGTTATTTCTTTATGCTTATCAGGAGCTGGGTTTGGTTGCTGGAATCCCTGTTGGTACCTCATTGATTGATGCTCATGCAGGTGGAGTTGGAGTGATGGAAAGTGTGCAAGATTCTGATTCTAAAGGTTGTGGTTTATCCTATATTCTCTTTTTAATCTTTTTCCTTATTGAATTTCATTCTGTCATATTGAAAATGCCTGTTGTAGAGATCGATAAGGAGATGATATTGAATCGTATGGCATTGGTTTGTGGAACATCTACTTGCCACATGGCTGTCTCAAGGGATAAGCTCTTTATTCCTGGTGTTTGGGGCCCATTTTGGTCAGGTATAATTGAAATTAATTCCTTTTTTTTTTTTTTTTTTTTTTTCTGTTTTTCATTTTAAATATTTGCCTGTTGAAGGAGAAAAAGAGATGGTGGACTTTGTTCTAACTAGGATAATAAAAAAAATGCTTGTACCATCAAAATTTCAATGGATATGTTGTGTGCAAATTATTCCTTGTTCCAAACAATAATATTTAACTAAAAGTACGTGTTAAATTCATCAAATGTGAGCGTTCTTACCGTTTCGTTCAAAAATATTGAAAGAAACTTAGTTTTTTCACATAATGATTTAAGTGCCTCCATGATGGTCTTCTCGACAGGGTTGAGGTTGTGAGGTTTTATAGGCACGAGTAAATGATTTTTTTTCTTCCTTATTTTATGCTTAGGACAATCTTTAGTGGATATGGTATGATACTAAAACGAGAAAACAACTTTTCTTAACAAGTTAATGTCCTTCTACTATGGGTTTCTTTGTTTTTCTTTTGTTCTCGATAGGGTTGAGGTTGTGAGGTCTTATAGACACGAGTAAATAATTTTTTTTCTTCCTTATTTTATGCTTAGGACAATGTTTAGTAGATATGGTATGATACTAAAACGAGAAAACAACTTTTCTTAACGAGTTAATGTCCTTCTACCGTGGGTTTCTTTGTTTTTTGTTTCGTTATCTGTTTTTTACGCTGGCTTTCAAACTACAAACGAAATTTTGAAAACTAGGAATTTGGCTAAGAATTTGTATTTTATCTATTATTTTTCTGAATGTCAGCAATGGTACCTGAGTATTGGCTCACTGAAGGTGGTCAAAGTGCTACTGGTGCTCTACTTGATCACATAATTCAAAATCATGTTGCCTCTCCTCATCTTGCAAATCGTGCTGCTTCACAAAGTAGGGCATTTTTTGTTGTTAATTTTACTTTAATGTTAATCCTGACTACCCTGGTTAAAGTAGGGTATGCTTAATGATAGTGTCTTATCTGTAATTCTTTTGTTCTTTAACCATCCAGATATCTCTGTGTTCGATATTTTGAATAAGTTGTTAGAGGATTTGATGGTTGATCTGAAGAGTCCATTTCTTGCTGCTTTGACTGAAGATACACACGTACTTCCTGATTTTCATGGAAATAGGTGAATGGATGACTTAAAACATTCATTGAGTAATTCTTACAAGAGCACTTTTTGTTCCTTTCCCTTATATAGATTGTCATGAACTTGATTGCATCATGGATTAGGTCTCCCATTTCGGATCCGAAGTCTAAAGGAGTGATCTATGGCTTAACACTTGACACAAGCGAGCAAGAGCTGGCTATCTTGTACCTTGCCACAGTACAGGCTATTGCATATGGTACACGCCATATTGTGGAGCACTGCAATTCCCATGGTCACAAGGTATGGTGAACTCATCTTTTTTTATCCTTGACAAGTGGGATTGGATACTTGCCAATGTTGATTAGTTATCCTTCTTTTCCATCTGATTTCCTTTAATTATGTTTAGTTCTTCTAGCCTTTTATGTCGTGGAGTCGTCGACATTTGCTCATGTATTGTGAGATCCTATGTCAGTTGGAGAGAGAAACGAAGCATTCCTTAAAAGGGTGTGGAAACCTCTCTCTAGTAGATACGTTTTAAAACTGTGAGGCTGACGACAATACGTAATGGGCTAAAGCAGACATTATCTGCTAGTGGTGGGCTTGGGTTATTACAAATGGTATCGAAGTCAGCACCGAGCGGTGTGTCAGCGAGGACACTAGCCCCCAAGAGGGGTGGATTGTTAGATCTCACATCTGTTGAAGAGGGGAATGAAGCAGTTTTATAAGGGTGTGGAAACCTCTCCCTAATTGACGCGTCTTAAAATCGTGAGGCTAACGGCAATACGTAACGGGCTAAAGCGGACATTATCTGCTAGCGGTGGGCTTGGGCTGCTACAAATGGTATTAGAGCCAGACACCGAGCGGTGTGTCAGCAAGGATGCTAGCCCCCAACAGGGGTGGATTGTAAGATCCCACATCGGTTGAAGAGGGGAATGAAACATTCCTTATAAGGGTGTAGAAATCTCTCCCTAGTAGACGCGTTTTAAAACCGTGAGGCTGACGGTGATACGTAATGAGCCAAAACGAACCATATCTACTAGCGGTAGACTTGGGCTGTTACATGTATCTCTCACGTAAATTTGGTGATCTCATCTTGTGATTTTGAAATGGTTCTTGGGCAAAAGTTATATATCTGTCTCAGCATTATGCTTTCTCGAATGTAATTTTACTTTTGTTTCTCCTCCAACAGATCAACACTTTACTTGCATGTGGTGGCCTAGCAAAGAATTCATTGTTCATTCAAGAGCACGCCGATATTATTGGTTGCGTTTCACCTCCCCTTTTTCATCATATTTTCTTACATGTTCTTCTATTTGCATCATGAACAACTAAGCATTTTGGACTGCTCTTTTCCATAAGTTGAGACAAATCTAATATTACTGAGTGTATATCCGCACCACAACAATGTAGAAGGCTATAGGATGTCAATCACGGATTTCTACAATAGTATGATATTGTCCACTTTAAGCATAAACTCTCGTTACTTTGCTTTGGACTTTCTCAAAAGACCTCATATCAATAGAGATATATTTCTTACTTATAAATCCATAATCGTTCCCTAAATTAGCTTATACCTTTAAAATTTTGGTGATGGTGAGCAGGTTGTCCTATTATTTTACCCCGGGAAAACGAGTCGGTGCTGTTAGGTGCAGCAATTCTTGGAGCCGTGGCTAGTAGAAAGTATTCTACTCTGCAAGAGGCCATGAAATCACTGAATGCTGCTGGCCAAGTATGCATAAACTGTCTCCTCATGATCATTCAGCTTCGCTTATTTGTTTTCTTGGAGTTAACCATTGTTGGTTCAACTGGCAGGTGATTTATCCATGTACAGAGCCAAAGGTGAAGGTATACCATGACGCTAAGTACCGTATTTTCGGAGAGCTTTACAAGAAACAGTTGTCTCATCGCTCCATAATGGCAGAAGCTCTGTCTTAGCTGGTGTCGCTCGGTATGGAATCACAAACACTTTCATCTTGTTTATTCCATTTGTTTGTGTTCTTTGGTTTGTCAAGCTCTGTCTCGCTTGCTGCTTAGCTTCATCAGCTTCTAGCTTTACCTTTCTGGAATAAGGAAAACATTTCCACAGTTCTGATATTGGTTCTATCTGTTGAAAAGCTCAAGTTTTTAGTCATACACATCTCTCTCTCTCTCTCTCTCTATATATATACACACACACACATATACATACATATGTATATAGATGTATGTGCTACTGCCTATGATTATTCTTTCATTGAAATGCTCTGTGACTCTCTCTCTCTCTATATATATACATACATATATATGTATATGGCTCTCTCTATATATATACATATAGAGAGGGCATTATATATATATAGAGAGAGAGAGAGAGCATTTCTATATATATGTGTGTGCGCGCGTGTGCTGCTGCCTATGATTCTTCTTTCATTGAAATGCTCTGTGACTCTGTTTTTATCTCTCTATATATATACATACATAGGATCAATTGATGTTTAAACCCTGGCTTGAATTGGGATTGCCTTCCTTGAGAAATTGATGTTTGAACATAGTAATAGCACATGAACGAGAAGAAAACAATAGCCTAGTAACCTAGAATTGAAGAGGATTGTCCAATTAAAGCGATGAAACATTGGCAGATTATGAACTGAAACATGAAACAAAGCCTACCTTGTTGTGCATAAGAATGGCACATCCAGGCTCCAACTGGTGTTTATCGACAAACGACAAGATCCCCACATAGTACTCCGGACCAACAGACGACGACACAATCGCATGATTCCCGACACTCATCGGCGAGCCACGAAGGTCATCGACCTTAGATCTATCTTCTTCATTCTTCTCTTCCTGAGGCTTAGTCGCTCTTGATTGGCAGCGAACTCTTCCTCCATGAGCAAGTGGTCCTTGACTCGCTCGAGCTTCAGAAGCCGAAGCTTGCACTTGGTGTGAGGGGTGACCGTCGGGAGGCGGGCGGCGGCGTTGGGATCCTTCTGTTTTCTCTGCTTGCGGCCGACGCGCGACGGAGGCGCCGCTGGTTCAAATTTCTTGTCCCTGTTGGGGTCATCGTGCTTCCGGCCACCGCGAAAACCCTCTTGGTGGTTGGTTCCGCCGGGATTGCCCTGACCCATTTTTGTGTTAAAGAGAGTGAGAAAAGAAGTGTTATTCAAGCCAATATGAGATATAAACAAAGTTGGAGAGGAGGGAGACGACACGAGTATTGAATACAAGTTCGAAGAGACCTGGATAGGCTCGAGCCATAACCTTAAAAGTCGGAGTTTCGGAGTGTTTATTCAAGTCAAAATGAGGCATAAACAAAGTTCGAGAGAATGGAAGTGACACGAGTATCGAAAACAAGCTCGAAGAGAGCTAAATAGACTCAGGTCATAATCTTAAAAGTCGGAGTTTCACATCAAGAGTGTTTATTCAATTCAAAATGAGGCATATACAAAGTTCGAGGTAATGGAGGCAACACGAATATCGAAGACAAACTCGAAGAGAGTTGGATAGACTCGGGTCATAACTTTAGAAGTCAAAGTTTCGATATGAATTTTGACACGTGACTTTATAATTATGTCTATCTACACGAAGGATGAAAACTCACCAAAATAAATTTTAATTTAAAACATTTAAATTAATATTTAATATTTAAAATAATTAAATTAATATTTAATATATTAAATATTAACAAAAATATATATATATATATATATTTAATTTTTAACTATAAAAATATATATTTGATTGAGATTCAAAATAATTTAAAGATATTATCTTTTAATTAATTTGAAAATATTAATTAACTATAAAAATATATATTTGGTTGAGATTCAAATTAATTTAAAGATAATATTAAATATAATACTATCTTTAAATTAATTTGAAAATATTAATTAATTATAAAAATATATATTTGATTGAGATTCAAATTAATTAAAAGATATTATCTTTTAATTAATTTGAAAATATTAATAAAAAAATATATTTAATTTTAAACTTGAGATTAAATATATATTTGACGGATGGAAATTAATTAAAAGATAATATTTAATATATTTAATTTTAAACTTTAAAAATATATACTAGTTAAAAGATAATTTTATTTAAATATAATTTAAATAAAATTTAGAAAGATTTTTTAGTGCCTTTAAATAGAACTCCTGGAAAACTAAATTTTATTTTGAGAGACTGCGTACTAGGAATTTAAAGACTTACGGGAACGATCTCCATATTTATTCATCGTAAGTTTGTTTAACCTCTAATTTTGTTTCATTCTTGATAAAATCCAATCGGTTTCAATGCTTTCATGAATCGTTTATTCTTTTTTTTTTTCTATTTGGTTAGTTGTATTACTTTATTGTATTAAAGTGTTCAAAAACTCGAACATTCAACAAATTTCATCTCATCTCACGAACACTTGTAATATTTTTTTTCATGCGATAGGACCATTGAGAATATTGACAATTTTCGTATGTATTGTTTAATGTATGTTAGCGTCAGGAACAATAGATCTTTCCAACATCTCTATATTCACTTAAAACGTCGTCTCATACCAATTAAGATATTATTTCTTACATACTCATGATCTTTCTCTTTCATTGCTAATGTCGAACTTCGATCAGACTCTCAATAGTTAGATCTAAAAGTAATGACAATTTTTCATTTAAGTTAAAATTTGAACGAGATTTTATTAATTACTCTGACCCTCTTATTTATTACTCCGAAGAATTTCTTTAATAAAATCATCCTCCTATTCACTATTCTCGAAGAAATTCTTTTACTACCTTGGTCCTCCTATTTACTAGATTAAAAGAAAACGAGGGTATAGTCTGCAAAAAAAAAAGATACGGAAATGATACTCGTCAATGTACTTTTAAATGCCTAAATTTAGACCTCGTACTTAATCTTAAAATTATTTTATAATTTATATTACCTTTATTTTTATATATATAGTTTTTCAAAATTAAATTGGTTTACGTATGTCCTCAAATGACCTAATAATCCGAACCCCCTCGATTCCCCAACTCAAACCGTAAAAGTTGAGTCGAGTCACTTTTTTTTTCTCAATTTGGGTTGAGTTAGATTTTCAACGAACAAAAAATTTGGTTCGGTTTGTGGACTATGATGTTTTGAGTTGGTTCAAGACAGACCTAATAGATAGAAATTTGAATATTTATCCTCGAGAAAACTAGATATCTTTTATTCGTGGATTACGTCATTTCTTCAAACTTTTAAATAAAATATTTATATATTAAAAAATTATTTTTTAAATAGTTAAAAATTATATTGACATAATATATGCATATATAATAATTTTTAAAATTAACCATTGACTCAGTCTAGTTTTAGGGGAGTCTATGAACTAGCATAATTCATAACGTTTTTATTCATTTGAGTTCAACTCAGCTCAAATAAGTTCACGATCCGGTATGAATTGGGTTGGGTTGATCGATTCTTTTGGGTCATTAGGATTTTTAAACACCTCTAATGTGATGTCCCACATTGGTTGGGAGGAGAACAAATCGTATGGAAACCTTCTCCTAGTGTTTTAAAGCCTTGAGGGGAAGCCCGAAAGGAAAAGTCCAAAGAAGACAATATCTACTAGCGATGGATCTGGGTCGTTACAAATGGTATCAAGGGCACACACCAGATGATGTGTCAACCTTCTCGTTGTTCTCCAAAGGGAGGTAGACACGAGGCGGTGTGCCAGTTAGGACGTTGGGCCCCAAAGGGGGTGGATTTGGAGGCAGTCCCACATGGATTGGAGGAAGGAAAGAGTGTCAGCGAGGACGCTGGGCCCCGAAGGGAGGTGGATTGTGATATCCCACATTGGTTGGGGAGGAGAACAAACCACTGTTTATAAGGGCGTGGAAACCTTCCCCACTACATGCATTTTAAAGCCTTGAGGGGAAGCCTGAAAGGGAAAGTCCAAAGAGGACAACATCGGTTAGCGGTGGATCTGGGCCCGTTACATCTAATCTTTGAGTCATCCGAGCTATAACCTAGGACATGGGAAAAGTGACAAAACTATAGAAAAGTAGAGAGATAGATGGGCAAAGATGAAAGGGAGAGAGTTGTAAATGAAGAGGGCAAATATTGGAAGTCCTAAAATGGTGGGTAAGGGGTAATGGGTAATTGTGTTGGCAATGGCAATAAGCCAAATTGAAGCCAAATTGAAGCCAAAAAGTGGTAAACAATGGCAATGGCAATGGCATATCCTTGGAGGAGATAAATAAGATGCTGATACGAATGCAAAAACCAGGTGGTGCCACGTGGGACGCTACCTGGCGAACAGGGATCGCATCTTCGCTTCGAACAACCATCCTCCTCTGAATCAGAGAAAGGGGGGAAAAACAGCGTCTATGGCGGTCGTCTTTTCCAATCCGTTCCAATAATCTTCTTAGTTTCATCGTTATTTCGTACTCCTTTTGTCTGGGGATGGTCACTCTCTACCTCGGACTCCCCAAATTCAGTACCCTGTAAGTTTTTTTTGTTCCTTTCCAAAGGAGGAGGATGATTATGCATCATTTTAGTTGTGAACGAATACTGTTTAGCCTCGAATTCCCATATGGGGTTGTTAGTTTTTCATTGCCCTAGTGCTGTTTGATTCGTTCTTCGACACCCATAATCCCCGCTTCTTTGTTACTTCGAGGATTTTAATGATCTCTTGATCTGTTTTTAGGATTTTTCCATTGTTTTTGGTTTCTGAGGTTCCTTGTAGGCGTTGTGTTTTAATGATTCTGGTCTTGTTTTGGTTGATTTGTTGCGATTTTTGTTTTTGAAGAAACCCTTTTAGAATGATTTTGTCGGGATTTTTTTTTTGATTCCTGATGATTTATCAAATGGGTATTGAGAAACTGAAGAATTTGGCTCGTTGATGAGTTGATTTCTGGGTTGATTTGTGTTATTCTTGTGGTGTGTGATTTGAGTATACATGTTTGGGCAAGAGTAAGAATTGTATCGATTAGTGACATTCAAATATCAGGCTGTAAACAGATGGATAGCCCGACGACGACACCAAGCTCAGCTCCTAATTCGTCACCAGTCTCGAATCCTGGTTCGAATGATGAAACCCCGCGTGTTAAATTCCTGTGTAGTTTCTTGGGGAATATAATGCCTCGGCCCCAAGATAGTAAGCTTCGGTATGTTGGGGGCGAGACGAGGATTGTGAGCGTTCCGAGGGATACGACATATGAGGAGTTGATGATTAAGATGAAGGAACTTTATGAAGGGGCTGCTGTGTTGAAGTACCAGCAACCGGATGAGGATCTTGATGCTCTTGTGTCTGTTGTGAATGATGATGATGTGATTAACATGATGGAAGAGTATGATAAGGTGGGTTCGGGAGACGGGTTCACTAGGCTCAGGATATTCTTGTTTTCGCATCCCGATCAAGATGGTTCGTTGTCCTTTGTCGATGGCGATGAGAGGAATACCGAGAGACGATATGTGGATGCCCTTAATAATTCGAATGACATTAATGATTTTGTTAGACAGCAGCAGCCAGATTCCCCTGTAATCAATGGCATAGACGATGTGCACGGGTCAGAACATTTTTTGAATCCGTTGAATATCGAAGGTAGTCTTCACTCCCAGAGAAGTTGCGAGCCGTTGTCACAATATCACCTGCATCAGCTCACAATTCCTCATGTTGGATCTGGGCAGCAACAACAATCTGTAACTCAAAGGTATGGTGAAATGGAAGCTCCATGGAGTCCTGCTTTACTTTCACCCAGGCATCACGGTCCGTTTGATTCAAGACCAGTCAGCGAATATCCATCTTCTCCATCCGCACGGTACCGTATGCCATTCCCAGAGTTGCCAGATAAATATTTGGAAAGAATGCCTGAAGACTATGCGAGGCAGCAAATGACTCACCAACACATGTATGAACATCAACCGCTATATAACGAGAATGTTGTCTGGATGCCAAATGGAACAATTACTGAAAAGTCAGGTTTTCCGGGTAATATATTACACGGACATGGTGTTCCTGATGCGAATAGTTCTTGTGAAAAGTGCCGAGCCAATTTCCATCGGTATCAAACACCCGTGGAGCAAGCTACGATGTTAAATGGACTTCCTCCTGAATACCCTCAGAATAGGGAGGTCCTGATGCAAAAAGCCGACATGAAGTTTCGTCATGGTAATTT